AAGAATGAAATGTTATCATTCGCTGGTAAATGGATGGAATTGGAGAACATCATTCTGAGTGAGGTTAGCCTGGCCCAAAAGGCCAAAAATCGTATGTTCTCCCTCATATGTGGACATTAGATCAAGGGCAAACACAACAAAGGGATTGGACTTTGAGCACATGATAAAAGCGAGAGCACACAAGGGAGGGGTGAGGATAGGTAAGACACCTAAAAAACTAGCTAGCATTTGTTGCCCTTAACGCAGAGAAACTAAAGCAGATACCTTAAAAGCAACTGAGGCCAATAGGAGAAGGGGACCAGGAACTAGAGAAAAGGTTAGATCAAGAAGAATTAACCTAGAAGGTAACACACACGCACAGGAAATTAATGTGAGTCAACTGCCTGTATAGCTATCCTTATCTCAACCAGCAAAAACCCTGTTCCTTCCTATTATTGCTTATACTCTCTCTACAACAAAATTAGAGACAAGGGCAAAATAGTTTCTGCTGGGTATTGAGGGGGTGGGGGGGAGAGGGAGGGGGTGGTGTGGGTGGTAAGGGAGGGGGTGGGGGAGGGGGGGAGAAATGACCCAAGCATTGTATGCACATATGAATAATAAAATAATCAAAAAAAGAATTTATTTCTTTGACCCTAAATACGAACATTCAATTCTTACTGTTTCTTCTGCTAAAAATAATTGACCTACACTATTGAAAATTAAATTTATGAGGATTATTATCTTTAACTAATAGTAATAGAAAATTATGAACAAATGGCATTCTGGAAAGACAAAGACTTCACTTACTATTTTCTCACTATCCTAATCATCTGGTAGGACTAAGCCAAAATAAGTTACAGAGAAAATTTTGAGAAATGGCTGGTCAGGCAAGATTCAGCCTTTTTCCCATATGTGTCTTTCAAATACAGTTATCATGCAAATATCTCCAGCTAGGTCCTAGTTTATCTAGTATAGTATTTAATATTTGTTTTCCTCTATTTCTGTGTCTCTAGGGATGATGAGTAATAATAAGACTTTTGACTTAAACCTGTAATTTCCTTAATGCCAAAATTAAAATAAAATCTCCTCATTATCATTCATCTACATTCTCATATATAATTTCAAACTCACAAAATGTTCTTCTCTGCTTTACTTAATTCATTTAAATTTTAAAATGCAATTTACTTATTTCCCATGTAAACTTTCAAACCAGGAAGAAATGTAACTAGTTTTCTGGTCTAACAGGATTTGTTCTCAGTTACAAATAGGGAAATTGGCATTTTGGTTTAAATATTAGATTCTCCTTGTGTAAGTACCTCTGAGCCAGTTCCTAAGAGAGTGACACTGAGCCCCACTGACCAAATTCAGTCTGCACTGGAGCCAGACCTGGATTTTGGTGACACACTGGAATATCACCCTATGAGATTCTGATGGTCACAGTCTCTAACTCTTGCCTATAATCTGCAATGTACAATCTTCTCATTTATAAAGTTCATCAGTGCAACTCTATTCTAAACCCAACCTAAGCTTATCTGGAAGTTTCTGATTCATAGCCTCCATTGTACCTGAGCTCCCACAAAGCTACAGGTGTTTTTACATTTCTTCTTTTTTTAACCTTTTGCTAGAAACTAAATGGAAGAAGGATAATTTTAGACAACTGTCTTCCAAAGTTGAGCTCATAGAGTAAATTTTACATTGTTATTTAAATAAATTATTTTCCTCTATATGCTGTACCTCAGTGGACTTCTTCTGAGCCCTTATACTCAGAAGAGTCTGAGGAGATTCACCAGGGACTATTCAAGCTTTTTTGCAATGAATTGGAGTCATTGTCCTGGAAGTTTCTAACTGATTTTCGTAGTCCTTTTTTAGCTTTTCTCAATGTGTGATTGCTAATCACTAAATGTTTTGTATGAAGATTAATCCACATAAATATTTTTGAGTAATGTCTTCCCCAAAATAAAACAGAACAGAATTGAATTAAAGGAAATAGCTGTCAAAACAGGGGGAGGATGCTTTTTACCAATTTTGAGATAACTGTGTATGTATATAATTAGAGTGGAGTACATTAGCAATTTTAATCCATAGCATAATATAATTAGTATAATTAAGTCTAACCTCCCCTTTAGAGGGAAAAGAAAATGTGTGCAGTACATTGGTCACAATCTAAGAGCTCTAACATCGTCTGCCCTGGAGAAGCATCCTATTCTTCAGGTTTCTTGAGGCACCTTCACTCATCAGCCTCCTTGTCATTTGCGTTTTTCTTGCTTACATTGTGTTTTCTGTGAAATGAATGTCCTTACTATTCTCTCCTTTGAGGAAGAGGATATGTTGTGGGCATTTTTGTATTTCCCACAATACCTGGATCTCAGGGTCATTGAATATGTATTTGCTATATTTCTTGAAAGTCCTAAAAACAATTTGCTCATCAAATTTGCAAATGATGAGGAGGGACTAGAAGGGGCAGCTAATAAGTTGAAGGTCCTAAAATTGTGAAATGCTCCAAAGAGGCTGAAGACCTTATAAAAAGAAATATGAAATACCAAGTCTTGAACCCAAAAATGCAAAAACCAAAATTATTAATGTAATATATGTGTTTAACAGCATACTATCCACAGCTGAGGAGTGAATTAGTGAGCTGGAAGAAAACTCAGGCAAAATCATCCAAAATGAAGCAGAGAAAGCAAAAGAAAAGAAATGCAGATTAAAAACTAAGAGACAGACTGTGTTAGTCAGCTTTGCATCACTGCGACAAAATACCTGAGATAAACAACTTAAAAGAAGAATGGCGGGAGAAATGACCCAAACATTGTATGCAAAGAAGAGTGGCTCACTTTGGCTCATGGTTTCAGAGGTTTTAGGCCCTGGACACTTGGCCCCATTGCTCTAGGTCAGTGGTGAGACAGAACGTCATGATGGGGGACACATGGTAGTGCCAAACTGCTCACCTCCTGTGACAGAATGCAAAGAGCACAGGAGGAGGGACCAAGATCCCAATATCATCCCCTTTGAGGACACACCCCCAGTGATTTCACTTCCTCCCACTAGTCCCCACCCCTTAAAGTTTCCATCATCTCCCAAGGGCTCCACCAGATGGGGTTACGCCTTTTGAGGGACTAGCAGAGAGAGTTCATCAAGAAGCCACACATAGAGCTGGAAATCCTACAAGGATAGGAGAGAGAGAATGGAGCAAAAATAATAAACAGACAATGGCTGATAATTTTCCAGAAAAGCAAAATACAATCCAAAGACTCTAGAATGATAGCAAATTCCTAGAAGAATAAGGAAAATAAATTTAGTCTTGGATACATTATGCTGAACCTGCCCAAAAGGCTTTTAAAGAAAAGGACAAAATCTTAAAAACAGTCTCAGAAAATCAAGAGATAACCATCAAAGAAGCAGAAATTATATTTTTATAACTGAATAAATGCTTATAGCATGAGTTTTTCTTTTCTGATTTGACATCTTAACCTTACCTTGGAGCCTGATGTGACCTGAGACTTTCTTCTGAAGCTAGGATGCAGGAATTGAATGGCCATTACTCAAAAGAGGTAGATTCAATTTATCCTATATATCTCCAAGGAAGTGAACCAAGTGCAATGTGCAGAGGACCCAAAAAAGCATATATTGTACTCAGGAGGGTGGAGATCAGGAGAATTGTGATTTGAGGCCAGCCCAGGCAAACAGCAAGACCCCATCTCACCCAATAAAATGCTGAGCATGGTGGCACACACACCTGTCATCCCAGCTATGCAGGAAGTTTAAATAGGAGGATCATAGTCCAGGCCAGCCCAAGCATAAATGCAAGACCCTATTCAAAGAATAACTAAAGCAAAAAAGGATAGGGGCGTGACTCAAGTGGTAGTGTGCCCGTCTTGCAAGCTCAAGGCCCTGAGTTCAAACCCCAGTACTACAAAAAAAAAAAAAAAAAGCACATCTCTACATAACATAAGGAAGAAATGGGACTGGTGGAGTAGCTCAAGGGGTAAGAATGCCTGCCACCTAGCAAGCATGAATCCCTGAGATCACACCCCAATGCTATCAAAAAAAAAGAAAGGAAAAAATGTATAATAATTTGAGTCATTAGAACTTGGGATAAGTTACCTTAGATAAGAAGTGAATTATCTACCAACAAAGAGTTTGATTAAAGGGCTGATGCATTCATTCATTTCAAATATATATTAAGTGCCTACTATATACCAGGCATAGCTACAGATTCTGGGGACATATCTGTGAACAAACAAAGTCCCTTCTGTGTAGAGCTCATGTCCTACTGCATGTAGACAGACAATAACAATGAATAAATTATGTGCTAGGTTACAAGATGGTAAGTGCCGAGGAAAGAAGCAGCAATGTGAAGGTGACCAAGAGAAGTGGAGGTGGGTTTGCAGCTCAGATTGATGGCCAGAGTTAGCATGACTGATAAGCATTATTTTGCCAAAGACATTAAGAAAGAAAGGGAGTGAGCTGTAAAGATCTAAGCAGTTAAAAGGGATATACATATTGGTGGGAGTCACTTCCAGCTCTATGATTCAGCCTTTAGCTAATTAACTTCATATTAATTTTTATTTTACCATGAAATATTAGAAATCAGATGACTTTCTATATTGTGTTGATTAGTAAAAATTGTTTGCCTTCACTTTGCATTTGAAAACCATTTCTTGCAAAATTCCACCTTTCATGGAGAATGTTGCACCTTCTGCTCATATCTCACAATTTGAAGATTAGAGCAGATAACTAGTATAAGCTTATTAGAGAATTGGGTTATCATGATGGGAAAGAGATGTGAAGACTCTTCACAGAGCATTCAACTGGAGAATTGTAGGCTTGCTCTTCAGAATCAGATTACTTTTTCAAACAAAGAAAAGCCAACAACTATTCAGCTGCTTTGATTCTAAACAATAATGTTTGTCTCTGATGTTAAATTCTATGATGCCATTCATTTGAAGCACAGAGGGCTTTGATACATACGGAATGAAAAGCCAAGAGCAACTTCTCTGTTAACTTGTGGTTTTGTGTTGCAGGCAAGCAAAAAATCCCTTTGGACGATAGAACCCCTTGAAGGCATGGTTCCTGCGGAAGCTGATATTCCTCTGACACTGACCGCCAACCTGAATGACATAGTGACATTCAAAGACACAGTGATTTTGGAGGTTGAAAATAGCAACACCTATCGGATTCCTGTCCAGGCTACAGGAATTGGTTCTACCATTGTTTCAGATAAGCCCTTTGCTCCAGAGCTCAATTTGGGATCACATTTTAGGTAGGAGAATATTGTGGGCCTATTTTTATGGATTGATATCACATATGTTACATAAACATCACCTATACTTCATATAGTTGTTTTTAATTAAATAGAACTAGACTTTTCAGTCCATCTCCTGTCCCATCCTCACTTTCCCCCTTCTTTTTTTTTTTTATTCATATGTGCCTACAATGTTTGGGTCATTTCTCCCCACTTCCCCCACCCCCTCCCTTATCTTCCACCCCACCCCTTCCCTCTCCCCGCCACCCCCTCGATAACTGGCAGAAACTATTTTGCCCTTATCTCTAATTTTGTTGTAGAGAGAGTATAAGCAATAATTGGAAGGAACAAGGGTTTTTGCTAGTTGAGATAAGGATAGCTATACAGGGAGTTGACTCACATTAATTTCCTGTGCATGTGTGTTACCTTCTAGGTTAATTCTTTTTGATCTAACCTTTTCTTTAGTTCCTGCTCCCCTTCTCCTATTGGCCTCAGTTGCTTTTAAGGTATCTGCTTTAGTTTCTCTGTGTTGAGGGCAACAAATGCTAGCTAATTTTTTTGGTGTCTTACCTATCCTCAAATCTCCCTTGTGTGCTCTCGCTTTTATCTTGTGATCAAAGTCCAATCACCTTGTTGTGTTTGCCCTTGATCTAATGTCCGCATATGAGAGAGAACATACAATTTTTGGTCTTTTGGGCCAGGCTAACCTCACTCGGAATGATGTTCTCCAATTCCATCCATTTGCCAGCGAATGATAACATTTCATTCTTCTTCATGGCTGCATAAAATTCCATTGTGTATAGATACCACATTTTCTTGATCCATTCATCAGTAGTGGGGCATCTTGGCTGTTTCCATAACTTGGCTATTGTGAATAGTGCCACAATAAACATGGGTGTGCAGGTGCCTCTGGAGTAACCTGTGTCACAGTCTTTTGGGTATATCCCCAAGAGTGGTATTGCTGGATCAAATGGTAGATCAATGTTTATCTTTTTAAGTAGCCTCCAAATTTTTTTCCAGAGTGGTTGTACTAGTTTATATTTCCACCAACAGTGTAAGAGGGTTCCTTTTTCCCCACATCCTCACCAACACCTGTTGTTGGTGGTGTTGCTGATGATGGCTATTCTAACAGGGGTGAGGTGGAATCTTAGTGTGGTTTTAATTTGCATTTCCTTTATTGCTAGAGATGGTGAGCTTTTTTCATGTGTTTTTTGGCCATTTGAATTTCTTCTTTTGAGAAAGTTCTGTTTAGTTCACATGCCCATTTCTTTATTGGTTCATTAGTTTTGGGAGAATTTAGTTTTTTAAGTTCCCTATATATTCTAGTCATCAGTCCTTTGTCTGATGTGTAGCTGGCAAATATTTTCTCCCACTCTGTGGGTGTTCTCTTCAGTTTAGAGACCATTTCTTTTGGTGAGCAGAAGCTTTTTAGTTTTATGAAGTCCCATTTATCTATGCTATCTCTTAGTTGCTGTGCTGCTGGGGTTCCATTGAGAAAGTTCTTACCTATACTTATAATTCCAGGGTATTTCCTGCTCTTTCCTGTATCAACTTTAGAGTTTGTGGTCTGATATTAAGATCCTTGATCTATTTTGAGTTAATATTGGTATAGGGTGATATACATGGATCTAGTTTCAGTTTTTTGCAGGCTGCTGACCAGTTTTCCCAGCAGTTTTTGTTGAAGAGACTGTCTTTTCTCCATCGTATATTTTTAGCGCCTTTGTCAAAGACAAGTTGGTTATAGTTGTGTGGCTTCATATCTGGGTCCTCTATTCTGTTCCACTGGTCTTCATGTCTGTTTTTGTGCCAGTACCATGCTGTTTTTATTGTTATTGCTTTGTAATATAGTTTGAAGTCAGGTATTGTGAGACCTCCAGCATTGCTCTTTTGACTGAGTATGCCTTGGCTATTCGTGGCCTCTTGTGTTTCCATATAAATTTAATGGTAGATTTTCAATCTCTTTGATGAATGTCATTGGGATTTTGATGGGAATTGCATTAAACATGTAGATTACTTTTGGGAGTATAGACATTTTTACTATGTTGATTCTACCAATCCATGAGCATGGGAGATCTCTCCACTTTCTATAGTCTTCCTCAATCTCTTTCTTCAGAAGCTTATAGTTTTCCTTATAGAGGTCATTCACATCCTTTGTTAGGTTTATACCTAGGTATTTGATTTTTTTTGAGGCTATTGTAAATACTTTCCCCCTTCTTGATGGGTACATCAGCTATAAGAAGACATTTCCTGGACTGGAGGTGTGGCTCAAGCAATAGAGTGCCCGCTTTGCAAGATGAAGCTCTGAGTTCAAACCCTAGTTCCAGCAAAAAAAAAAAAAATAGAAGACATTTCCTAGATATGGCTTGATTATATTCTCCTAGCTGCATCCCTCTATCCTAAAGAAGAGGAAATGTACCCTTTTCCCAAACTTATAGTGACTTCTCTGTGATGAATTCATAATCTCAACTATGATTTTTCCTCTTTGATTCCAATACACCACTAATCCCTCTCCACGAATGCAGAAAATACAGCTATAGTTTAGTGGTAACCTAAGTAGACTATACCCTAGGAAGGTAAAAATTCACTGCACATATATCTTATCAAGTATTGCAAAGCCAGTAGCTTTTTTGGTATTATTTATTCTGTTTGTTTCTATAACAGAACACTGTAGCACTAACAATTGAGATGGCTGCAAATGGCTTCCTCCCATCACCCAGGAAAAGTTAGAGGGTTTAAATCTTTAAATAAAAGTTGGTACACTGTAGACAGCTTTGAGTAGAACAATCTAGTGTAGAGATAAGAAGTATGAAGTTAGAATGCCGAAGGTAGAGAATATGTGTGAGATTTATCCTTGGTTATTCAAGAGAGCCATGAAGTTATCAGTAATTGACCACTGGGGCCAGTTGAATTTGAACAGACCTCATAGAGGGCTTCTCCTGCCTTCCAGCATAACAGTGCCTGAAACCAAATCATTTGCATTGTGCTTATGGAAGATTTGACTGACAGTTATCAGTTAGAAGCCCTCCCTTCCTCCTTTCCACTGTTCTTCCCTAAAACATAAGTACTTGGTTGAAAATACCACAAAACAAAAGCAAATTAAGTAACAGGCAAGATAAAGTTGAGTTGTATGCTTTTAGACAAATGTAAAGTTATATTGTTTTAGCCAAATGATACAAAAATCCTCCTCTTTGCCTGTTATTGGCCATAAGCTAGGCATTTTGTCATTGCAAACCAGTGTTTCTATTTTTATATTTATTTAAGTGCACTCAAATCTAATTATAGAAAACAATACACTGAAAACTAGATCTAATTACATGTTCTTCTTAATCTACAAATAGAGTCAAATAGCCCCCAAAGGATATTTCAACATTTGCCTGGAATTGGAAGGTTTTCTATGACTGTATGAGCTAACTACTTGTTAGCTGCTAATATCCCCTCTGACTAAACCCTATTGTTACTCTTTTTGACATAAAATCATGATGCCAGCAATAGCGAGAAGAATTGTCAAAATCAGTAGTAGGTAAACTACGGCCCACTGCCTATAAATAGTCTTATTGGCACATGGCCAATATATCTCTGGCTTATTTCACATTAAAAGTTGAATAATTGGACTGGGTGCCAGTGGCCCATAATCCTAGCTCCTCAGGAGGCAGAGATCAGGAGGATCACGGTTCAAAGCCAGCGAAACCCTATCTTGAAAAACCCTTCACAAAAAATAGGGCTGGTGGAGTGCCTTAAGGTAAAGTTCCTGAGTTCAAGCCCCAGTACTGAAAAAAAAAAGTTGAATAATTAGGACTAAAAGTGTGTACCTCAAGTGGTAAAGAGCTTGCCTAGCAATCCCCTGGAGTTCAATCCCCAGAACCAGCCCCACCAAAAAAAATGAGTAGTTGTGACAAAAGTCACAAGTCCCCAGAAGCCCAAAATATTGTTATATTTTTTCAGCCCTTTACAGAAAATGTTGGCCAATCCAAGGTCTCAAGAAATATCCACATGGCAACTCCCTTAGATTTTCAGAGCTTCTATATCTTCATAAAATGGGAGTTAATATAGGAATGAATGATGGCTGTGTTTCTGTGATTGTTGAAAATATATGGTGAATAAGTAACAGAGGCCCTACCTAGCTTAGAAACAATATGTATTATTTATTATTTACTCCCCCGAAGCTTCCATTAGCCATAAAGTTAAACTGCTGGATAAAGATATCCCATTGAGCATGCCCTGTAGGCACATAGTTATAGAGAAATGGTTTGACCTGACAGCTGGTAAATATTTCTTCTGATTAGTTGACACTTCAAGTTACTTATTAGATATGATATCATTTCCTAAGGAGGAGCAGATAGTATAAAACTGCAAGGACTAATAAGATTAAAAAAATAAAAACAGTCCCAAGATTAGGTGTTTTACCCTGAAAAGAATATGAGTAAAGTAAGACTATAAATCAATTTTTAAAATTTCAAACAAATAAAACATAATTGAATCACCTCTAAGTCTCAGTTTTTTCACAAAGAACCAGGCAATCAGAGGGCAGAGAATGGATGGATGGATGGACGGATGGATTGGTAGAATAAAAAAAGTCTTGAAAACACATTAGTCTGAGAAAAGTGCCCAGTTTACATGGTGTTTTAGTCCGCTTCAGTCCATTCTGCCTGACCTCTGTTAAGGGAGATGTGTTGTTCCTCTTCAAATTGAGCCCATCATTACAAGACATTTCACACGCTCAATAGATATTTAGCCAACACAATTTGAAATATGCTTCTCCACTGGTCAGTATTTTTTTTTCCTTTCACACATCAAAACCATTTCTCACTAATTAGAGTGCTTTTCACATGAGCTGTGTCTCTGTGTCTTGTGGTGTGCATGACAGAAGACGAAGGATGGGTGGAGCCACTTTCCCACAGCCCCTCACCTACTGGTGACAAAGTCTGAGGACCCTTAAGTAGATATTACCTCAATCTATCACTCTTGACAGTTCCTAATAGTATCATAACTTAGTCTTCCTACATTTTTTAGAAAATAATGTCT